CTTGCGTCATCTCGCATGAAATCGCGTCATTTTAGGTCAAATCGTGTCAAGTAATGTCGGATTGCGTCAGTACACGTCAATTCGCGTCAACTTACAGCATAATTTTTAATGAGAAATTTCAACAAAAAAACTTATTTTATTATTGTAATTGCAATTCTTTGATATTCTTTTCAAAACAATAATTGTGTAACAATTTAAAGAAAATGTATTAGTATTTTGACTTCTTTTGACTCCTGTGGTCTTCCTTTTGACCTGTCTCTTATACACATCTAGATGTGTATAAGAGACAGTACTTACACACAGTGACACAGGAGTACGTAAAGCATTATCTATTTTTATTCATTTTGTACAGTATATTTTAGAAAATTGTTAAAAATTATAATGTAATGGTGTAACCAATGAGAATGTAAAAACTTAGAACCATGAGACTAAACACAAAATGACACATGAGTATGTAAAGCATTATCTATTTTTATTTATTATGTATGATGTACAAAAGTTAAAAAAATACCGTATAATGTAACTGTGTAACCCTTGAGAACTTTAGAACCATGAGAATAATCACACAATGACAAAGGACTGCGAAACGCTTCACTGTATTTATTTATTAAGTATTATACAGAAAATTTAAAAAGTAACAGACTCACTAGAGCACAAGAATCTTTTATTAAGATGTATAACACGTGTACAGTACATAAATATAGAGTTATATATTGTATAAGCTCTCAGAATATTTGAGAAATAAATATGAATTTTTCATATTGCAGTATTAAATTTCAATTTCTATTTAATAAAATGTGTCCCAACATGTGTCAACCGGAGTATACAAAACAAATGTACATCCATGCATATCATAACAATGCATCAAGTTTAAATTTCCCCACTTTTAATCCTTTATTACGATTTGAAAGTAAAATAAATACAATAATTTTAAAAAAGGAATATGAATGCAAAAATACTGTAAGAATGAAGTGTGTACTTTAGTACAGGGAACATGCAGACACATTGTCAAAAGGAAGACCACAGGAGTCAAAAGAAGTCAAAATACTAATACATTTTCTTTAAATTGTTACACAATTATTGTTTTGAAAAGAATATCAAAGAATTGCAATTACAATAATAAAATAAGTTTTTTGTTGAAATTTCTCATTAATAATTATGCTGTAAGTTTACGCGAATTGACGTGTACTGTATCGCGGTGTGTTTTCCGACGACCAGCAGCCTAGGAACGTAATAAAACGGTAATTTTCTTGAAATTGCAGAAGATATTTTGGTCGAACTTTCTATATTTGATTCAAGACATATTACTTAACTATTGTAGGCCTAAATTTTTTATAATGAAAAAATCGGAACGGAATTCGTTTTCTAGACGTCTTTTGAGCTTCACCCCATGGCCTACATGACGTGGGCTTGTTCCATCCATGGGGGAATCAATTTTCGTTGCAGTCCAATGCCGTGAGCAACGATTCCCAGTGTCTGCTAAATTTTAATGGTCAGGGTACCGCGATCACGAGCCCTATGCTACGCATTATAGGCTAAGCTTATGTGGGCTGGGATTTGCAACAATGTCCTGGACTAGGCCTCTATACTATTATAGGAGGCCTAGTCTAGGCCTATAATATAGTAAAATTCTGTATAAGTAGTCATATGATTACAGGTTTACAGTGTACCACGCTCAATATAACGATCGCATTTATTTTTCATTAAAAATAACAAAAAAAAACTTCAAAAAAAAAAAAAAATAAGGATTTTAAAATATTCAAAAAAACTGTACACTTCAAAAAAAAAATTCACTTAAAAAAAAAATTAAGTTAACTTAAAACACAAACAACGCGATAGGATATGAAGTTTGCGAGAATAATTGGTATACTTGTACTGTATTTTCTAAAGCGCCGCTCTTTTGGGGTTGCTACAATCAGTATAAACTATAATACCGTAGTTTCATTCAATGGGGCCCCGACAGTTTTAAACAATAAAAGCTGGGTTCTGATGTTTGAGATCATGCTTCTGATTTTGTGATCAATCTGCTTTGCATTGTATATAGGCCCTACGTTATTAAAACATGTTTAGCTCTCACTAAAATTGGTCTATTATCGGTATTTATTTACACCTAGAGTACACAGGCGTAGGCCTATACCAGTCCAAAAGTCATGTACCATTCTATGTGTTAACGCAGTTAACAGTTAATTTTTCAATCCTCCAGCAAATTTTAAATAGCATCCAAAATCCTCACCTTTTTGGAATGTAAGGAAATAGATAGTGCTTTTCCTTTGTTGGATCGATTGTAACTCCTGATTGTAGCAACCCCAAAACGAATGGCACTTCAGAAATACAGTACAGTATACCAATTATTCTCTCACTGAAACTTTATATCCTATCGCTTTGTTTGTGTTTTAAGTTAACTTTATTTATTTATTTTTTATTTAATTTATTTTTTTTAAGCATACAGGTTTGGAATATTTTAAAATCCTTAATTTAAATTATTTAAAGTTTTCTTTTTATTTTCAATGAAAAATAAATGCGATCGTTAATATCGATCTTGGTACAATGTAAACATGTAATCATATGACTACTTATACAGCATTTTACTATATTATAGGCCTAGACTAGGGCCAGGCCTCCTACTATAGTATAGGCTTTTAAAAAAAAATAATACAGTACATGAATTTAAAAAAAAAAAAAAAAATTAAAAACAAGCTTGGTTTATACAGTAGTTTAGTTGATTTAATCCCAGTTAAGTCCAGTCCATATTGATGCTACATTTCAAATTCAATACTAAGAATGTAAAAATCTTCTAGATCTATTGTAGAAATCCCTAATAATAAACCAAAATGAATGCATCTAAATTAAATACAAGTTACAATTTTATAGGTTGTATGGGAAGAAACCCAGAACCCCTAGACTGTGACTAATATAGGAGAGGGATCGCACTCGTCCCCCTTTAAAAATGTCCAAGCCAAAAAATCAGGCTAAAGTAGAGTGTCCTCACTTATCATCGATCCCCTTACTTCACCTTTGTGTCCCCTCCCCCATTTCAAGACTCCTAGATTTGCCACTGCCCTCAGAGGGGGTCCAGGGAAAATCCCCTGTAAACCCTGACATGGCCACCACTTACGAAATCCCCAAAATCATGATTGTTCTGCTGGCATAGGAAAGCTGGTAAACAAAAACTGAGAAAAACCACAATTGTATTTATGCATCATTAATTTATTAACCAACACCACAACATTTATGTAAATTACAGGATAAAAAAAACCAACTATAAATGTATAATACATACATAATACCTTGCATTAATTTTCAAGCCGCTATATATTAGAAATGTTATAATTTTCAAAAGCAAAGACAAACATTTCAACAAGGGCACAGCTTGATAAACAAGGGTGCACTGTGATAAACAAAGCGCATCTTGAAAAATGAGGGTGAATTGTAAAAATGTAACAATTTGTTACTGAAATATCAATGGTTAATTGGTTATGTACAATCTGATTTGCTGATGTCTCATACAAAATTTGAATATTCATATTAACTGACAGTATGTTAAACTGAACCAGTATACCAGGTATTCTTAGTTAGACATTCCAACAAATAGAATTGTACAAATTCTAGCAACTGATAATCTTATCATATATACTCTAATATTCAAACAGTAGTAAAACAAGGAATACATCACCAAGACATTCATGTTTTTTGACATAAAAAAATAATCATTTGGATTAGAATACATTTTTTTTCAATTACATTATATTAAAGAACATTATTACGATCATCATGATGATGATATTTGGAAGGGAATAAATAATTATAAACTTTTCATAATTAATTCTGTCATATTTTAAAAATATATTTCAATACTATCAATTCATTTATCATATGAATGTTTTTTGGCAATTAGTTGTCAATCAAAAATTAAGAATTGTTATTATTATTATTGACTAACCATTTTACCATGATTCTGCATACAATTTAATGAAAAAATGTAGTTCTTTTATTTTATGCACATTTCAAGAGAATTTCACAAGATTTATAAAATCTTTAAGGACACCTTCATATAGAATTAAATACTATAATTTAGTAATGAGCAATACAAAAATATGTTTTGTTTAACAAATGCAATCAAACTTAATGCATTTCAGATAAGCAGCAGAAATGAATACTCTTCATGAGTTCATGGTGATTACACAAATCTTAACAAAATATGTAAAACTAGCAACACTTCAAGGTAAGGTTGTTGGAAAATTGAAAGACAGGATTTTGTTAGTAATGAGCTTTAACAATGTAAATCTGTAAACTACAAGCAAAGAGCATGATCCAATCACATATTTACAAAGACACTTTTCCAATAACAATTCAATAATTAATACAGTTAATACAATTGATGGAACTATTGGTAATAGGGACAAGATAGCACTCTGTTGTGCACATACAACTTTTCATGCACTCAATTATATTCTATCTCTGAATGACCATTGTTTTGCGAAATAAATGTAACATTTTATTTTTTTACGAATAAACAGGATGCGATAACTGGCCAAAAATAACATTTTACTTTTTATTCAAAATCACCATTTTTGGTGATAAGTGGGTTTGCTAAACAAGGTATAAAAAAAGTCTGGCCTAAGGTAATAAAGTGTAACATCACATTAATGTTACAATCAACCAACTTAATGCAATATTACATACAGTGTTTACTATATCAACCAATGTAATGTAATATTATAAATCTCTAGTTCTGAATTTACGGGTAGCGACTCAAATTTTGGTCACCAAAACTGAAGGTCAAAAGATTCCTCCTTGAAAGAATTTTCAGCCAAATATTAAGTTAATATCCAAAGATTCCTATTTGTGGAAAATTGTTTACAACCAAGTTTGGCATGTTAACTTTGGGAATTTTTTTTTTCTTGCTAATTTGTTCTGTTTACTTCTTGTTTTGGCACTACTTGCTCCAATTGGAAAACAGCCAACATCCATACTTTTTTATGCTTTTAGATGTAGGTCTAGAGAAGGTGCCAATTAGCTCATCTCAGCCCCAACCAAGGTAGATGGTTATGGACTCCTTTACTCTTATTATATAGAAAAGAACATAAACAACACACAAAACAGAATTTAAAAAAAATCAATTTAAAAGTTATAAACTATTCATTACATATTTTCTATGGTTCAATTATATATAATTTGAAGGAAACATGGATTCTTATTTGTGACTTAGGTTAAAAAAAAAAGAGCACCAAACAAAACCGGGGAGACAAGCTGATTAATGAAACACTTTAAGAAAAATATGGTGGGACTAAGTAAATAAAATTATATATCATTATTCAACCATTACAAATAAAAAAATATAACCAAAAGACCATAAATTAACTAAGCTGAAATAATATACCATACAAACACTACACTTTACTATAGTAGTATATTTATATACACCTGTCACTGTTTTGATTATGTAGACAATTAATAGGCAAAAGGTTTGTGATAGTAGAATAAATACATAGCAACTTAGAATACTGCAAATATTTTGTTTTTGTGTGTGTAAGAAATATGAAAGCTACATTAAAAGTTCAAAGAATTTATCATTTGCAGCCAATCACAGAGGAAAATGTACAAAAAAAACTGCAATAGCAAGGAAACTTGCTAAATTCTCTACATTTGATGTTTGTTTGTTTGAGATTCTAGATCAATTCAAAAAAGAAAAAAAAAAGAAAGTTGAGTTGTCAGTATTTCACAGCGTTACTGTGAAATACTTTACCTTATTTTCCCATTATATTGTAAAATTTATTTCAATTGTGTGAAAAAAACCCCAATAAACAAATAAACAATTACTTAATTTAAACTAGAGCAGTCACTCCATAGGGTGCATGCATCGGCCCTGTGCCTGAATACAAGACAATACACTGGCCGTGTATGCAGTGTATGTTCCCCCCATAATTTTCTTTCTCTATGGTTCCCCTTACTTTTTGTTATGCTTGAGGGTAAAAATTCAAATTCTGTGACCTTGATCTTTGCTCCCTAAAAGCTAATTATCTCATTCTTAGAATTAGATTATTATGTATCACTCCACTAAATTGTATGATGATCCATTCATTAGTTTTTTTTTGTAATCTTGCTAACTGACAGACAGACAGGGGTGTTAAATAGCTTCCTTGGTAGAGATAATAAATTGTTTAACAAAATAGAGTATTCAAGATTTTAGTTTTTTCATAACAATAGATGTATAGTTGTATTGATACAGAATGCCCATCACACATGCCTCCTCTCTGTTGACATCAATGAATTATATAACTGGATAAAAACACCAAAATTATAATTGCTTTTGATTTTTAAAAATATTTATAACCATATAACATCTTTAATTCACCCATTTAGCTTCCATATCTTTTGCACAACAAAAAAAGATAACCAGTTTCCTAAGTTTGTGTGTACTTATACATCTCTAATCTTACATGGAGATTGCCCTCAGGTTTCACTGGTTACATAATCAATACACTGAAAAGGCCTAAGCTGAATGCTTTATCTAAATTAATCACAGGCACTTGTATTCTAAAAAGAAAATAATGAAATTAATAATTGACAGTTTATAAATGTAAGAATAGTAAATAAAAAAATATCATACTAAAAACTAATAAATCACAAAAAAAATGTAAAAATATTTACAGGTCATCCAACTTCACCTCATCAACCAAAAGAAAAAAACATTACAGATCATAATACCTTCTAAAATCTCTACATCAACCAAACAAAAAACAACATTACAGATCATTACACCTTATAAAATCTCTACCACATTAACCACACAAAAACAAGATTACAGATCATTACACCTTATAAAATCTCTACCTCATCAACCACACAAAAAACAACATTACAGATCATTACAACTTATAAAATCTCTACCACATTAACCACACAAAAAAACAACATTACAGATCATTACACCTTATAAAATCTATACCACATTAACTACACAAAAACAAGATTACAGATCATTACACCTTTTAAAATCTCTACCTCATCAACCACACAAAAAACAACATTACAGATTATTACAACTTATAAAATCTCTACGACATTAACCACACAAAAAAACAACATTACAGATCATTACACCTTATAAAATCTCTACCTCATTAACCACACAAAAAAACAACATTGCAGATCATTACACCTTATAAAATCTCTACCTCATTAACCACACAAAAAACAACATGACAGACCATTACACCCTATAAAATCTCTACCTCATCAACCACACACACACAAAAAAAACATTACAGATCATCACACCTTATAAAATCTCTAACTCATTAACCAAAGAAAAACAAAATTACAGAGCACTACACCTTATAAAATCTCTACCTCATCAACCACACAAAAAAAAAAACAACATTACAGATCAAACCTCTACCTCATCAACCACACACACAAAAAAACCCATTACAGATCATCACACCTTATAAAATCTCTAGCTCATCAACCACACAAAAACAACATTACAGATCATCACCTTATAAAATCTCTACCTCATCAAACACAAAAATAAACAACATTACAGATCATCACACCTTATAAAATCTCTACCTCATTAACCACACAAAAAAAACATTGCAGATCATTACACCTTATAAAATCTCTACCTCATTAACCACACAAAAAAACAACATTACACCCTATAAAATCTCTACCTCATCAACCACACACAAAAAAAAAACATTACAGATCATCACACCTTATAAAATCTCTAACTCATTAACCAAAGAAAAACAAAATTACAGACCATTACACCGTATAAAATCTCTACCTCATCAACCACACAAAAAAACATTACAGATCAAATCTCTACCTCATCAACCACACACACAAAAAAACCCATTACAGATCATCACACCTTATAAAATCTCTAGCTCATCAACCACAAAAATAAACAACATTACAGATCATCACACCTTATAAAATCTCTACTTCATTAACCACACAAATAAACAACATCACAGATCATTACACCTTATAAAATCTCTAAATCATTAATCACAGAAAAAAAACCATTACAGATCATCACACCTTATAAAATCTCTACCTCATCAACCACACACACAAAAAAATTACAGATCATCACACCTTATAAAATAAAAATTACAGACCATAAAAAAAACCACATAAACAACAAACTATATAAACAAAGAGCGGAAAAAATTAATAAAATGTTGACACCATCATATCACACCTTGTCACTGTACCCTTTGAAAGTAATGCTGTAATATTCATGCTGCAATTTCATTGAATGTTATTCTTGAAGGTTTAAAGAGATTTTATCTTGTGCATCAAATCTTTTAATTTACAAATCTTGAATTTATTCAGTTACTTTTTGTCAGTGGGCTTCACAAGAAATTATTTGTCTGAATCATTAAAATGCTGCTTTCAGTTTAAACAATTACAATTAAAATTATTGGATTATCATATAAAATACATTGCACATTTTAAGAATCCGACAGTTCATTCATCACTGAAGTATACACAATTAGTAAAATGTTTTCCCTTAATCATATCTAAAATGATTAAAGAATGAATGGTGTCTCAACAGCACACACTATACCAATATCAGAACCAGTATAACAATGAGATTAGTAACTTGGAAAGGGTAACAAGTTGAATATCTTCACAATAGAATACAGCTCTTAGCTCTTGAGATCTGCAAGCAAGCAATGTAAAAAACTTGGTACAGTGTATGATATCACCAGCTACTGTACATGTTTGTTCAAAGCTGGAGTAAAAGACATCCATACTACCAATTATAAATCTGTTGTTACATCACTGTAAACACGATTGCCTGTATTTCCTTCCCTGCTAACTGCGCTGTACTTTTTCTCGTCTTCATGCCGTGGCTGCCAGTACTTCTTCCAGAATAGAACAGCGCCCACCATCACTAACAGTAGGATAATGAGGATTGGCAAAACAATGGCAGCAGCATCTAACAATAAAAAGACAGTAACAATAAGCCACTAATGTACAATTATTAATCTAAATGAAACAAAGAGTGCACTTGATATAGAAAAATATATCACTACTGTGCAATTATTATTATCTAAATAAAAACAAACAGTGCACTTAATATGGAACAATAAGCCACTATGTAAAAGGGTCCAAGCATTAAGCTCTTTGCTGTCAGTGATACTACAAACAGTGCACTTAATATTGAAACAATACACCACTATGTGAAAGGGTCCAAGCATTAAGCTCTTTGCTGTCAGTGATAATTGTAATGGCCCTCAAACAATGCACCAGGCTTCACAAATAAAAAAATGTTTACAGCATCAGCCTACACTGAACAATTGGGCAGATAACAGTAAATTAGTTTTGGTAATCCTCTTGGATGTTTTACTGACGCGGAACACATAAAATAAATAAATAAATAAAATTTGAGACTTTCAGAACTTCTCATTTTTATATCCTCACATAAACCTACTGTAGGACATCAAGTTTCAATGTATATGATACCTATTTCATTTCATCTTTCAATCACAAAAGGAAACAATTAAAAAAAAGGAATTTAAAGAAGTAAACAGAATTATAAAGAAGTGAACCCAATCACTATCAAGTGATTCTATAAGCCTCTAAAAGCCAGCATTCAAAACTAAATATGAATACAATGTATACAGTACATGAATAAAATTGCATTTTGGAAAGTCAATAATCAATAGGCTGTTTTGTGACATAAGCCCCTTTCACACAGAGCTGCAATACGGTATTAATACCGTTTTTCGCGAACGCCTGCATTCTATGTGAAAGGGTAAATACGCCTAAATCCAGGCTTAGGTTAGACCTCCTCGGAACCTAGTCAAAATAATGCATTAATACCGTAGCACTGAAGCATAAAAAATCAAAGGTCAAAGTGTGAAATATTTTTGTTGAGTTGTTTTTTAGATCAGGGTTGCCAATATAAAATAGCACTCTCTGTTCACAGACGCAAAATACTCCTTTTGCACGGGACCCCTTTCAGATAGGATACGGTATTTATACCGAATTTTTACTAATTGTGTGACAGGGTCTACACCAGCAATAGCGCCGGCGTGACTATGGTATATTTGCGGTATTTTCTGTCTAAAAGGGCCTGTAGAAAAACATTGTTGTTACATAATAAAAATAATTAAAAAGCAACATGGATTCAGATGACATGCTTATATATGTTAGGCGAGACTTTCTTTATTCCTTGTTTTGCGAACCTATTTTTTTTAAAGTTCATCGGATAGAGGAGAAAATAAAAATAAAATGTTATTGGTAAATGTAAATAGTGTTATAATGGGATGGTTAAATGCTCTAAATTTATATAATTAGAAAGAAAAACACATCTTTTTGTTTTTAATATTTTAAAAAAATTTATTCTTATCTTTAGATATTTCAAGGCAGCGGAGGGCATAATAAAAATAAAGAAAAACTTTTATTATTTTTTCAATTTCCATTTTTCATGGTAGCAGGTACGCTAATTAGCCAAAAATAAAATTTCATTTTTATTCAAAATCATTATTTACGGGCGCCAGGTTCGCTAAACATGGTATAAAAAAGTCTCGTCTTAGGAATCGATACCAAATTTTAAATTCTAAGAAATTACAATTTTGTTATTGTTAGCCAATTACATAAGTATATGCATCTTAAGAAAATTTTAATTTTGATCCTCCGATAAGTACAAATCATAGATTCCACAATTACAAAAATTCTCACAAATATCTCAAAGATCCAGTTCATGAAGCATTCTAGTTTAATCATCATATTATATTTTTCACTTACTTGTTCCAGATTTTTCTGGAATCCTCTGTTTTAATGTTGACTCCATCTTAGTTGTTTTATCAGGTGGCTTAGAAGTTGGTGTAATTGGTAGAAAGGTAGGATCTACACAAATATCAACAAATGGCTATTTTAACTGATTCTGATCAATTTTTCAATAAGCTAATTTAAGTCTACTACTTAATGATTTTTTAACGATTATTTTAGTAACATTTATAATAATATGCTGAATAGATTCATTTCATTAGAAGTATACATTATTTATATTTTTTGGTTTACCATAAAAGGAAAATTTTAAACAAATACATTATATTATTTGGAGTTGAATATCTTGGTGGTTAAGATGCTAGCTTTTTAATGCCAGGGTCCTAGGTTCAAACCCTGTCACAGCAGAGCTCCAATCTCTAAGCATCTGCTTCTCAAACTTTTTTAAGTGGCGACCCACTTTTGAACTCCCTATTCTTTGGAGACCCAAGACATTATCAAATAAAGATACGCTGTATTTCTTCAGTCAACCTCAGCTAAGTCGAATATAAAGTCTGTGATAGATACATTTGTTATCGTCGATCATGTGCGGGATGTTCCATGTTATAGTATGGAGAATATTTACTGCACTCAAAATTTTGAAATGTTTAATGTAAAACAATGAAACAACGACAAATTTTCGACATATGTATGGTCGTCTAGGGTGAGGTTGACTGGATAAATAATAATTGCAAATGAAGCTTCCATGTCCCGCCAACTCGCAAAAAGGTTGAAACAAACTAAAAAAAAGAATCTCATCATTTTCAACAAAATCTAACTTTTATTAACTGGTACATTGTGTTATTAATGTGAGCTATGTCCCTGCCTAATTTTAATGATCTTATCAACCATGAGAGCAGCTTCTAGGTTTTGAGTTGATAATAAATTTCGCACTTTCGTCTTCGTAGCTACGTCTAGGTTACTTTTTGTTGGACAGCTATGTAGAAGTATTTTTTTTTTTCAAAATGCACTTTGCCAAAGTCTGTCTTTTTTTTAAAAGTCAGAAGTAGTCTCACGACCCTCTGAAATGCTTTGGCGACCCAAATTTGGGTCACAAGATAGTTTGAAAAGCAGGGATCTAAGCCTCATAAAGAGACATTGTTTATAAAGTGTCATTCCACCAATATTGGTGTGTTCCTTGATTTTATATGTCAATATATAAAATTAATAAAAAATTAATAAAAATTAATTTTGTAGAAAGAAAAAAAAAACAATTCTTGGTTTTACAGAATTATTACCACACCTATTTGAAGCAAAATTTACAGCATGAATTATTACCAATAAACTGCTGTGGTAGAATGGAATCAAGAGTTCTTCCTTGCAGCTTAGCAGGTAAATAACATGTGCCCTTAATGCTATTGCCTTCTATTTCAAGCCATGTTGGTATCCATTCCATATTAACATCACATGTCAAATTATTTCCACTGAGGTCTCTGGAAAATAAAACATAAAATATTTAAATTTATTGTTATGAACACAACCAAAACACTTTTACTTAATTGATACAAACTAGAAAATTAGTACACAATATCAAATAATGATACATTAACTAAACCAGAGCCTTGCAGGCGTCAACGTTCCTATGCATGATACATGACTTAAAAGGTA